TTACAACATTGTTAGTAACATTTAAGATTATAAAGAATGACTTCACTACCTTCCCATTTTTGTATTGCTTGTTACTTAAGACTCAACAATAAAATTTATGTGTTGCAAAAACATTATTTGAGTACTTTTAAAGGAAGAAAAGAGCTAGACTAGTTCAAACAGTTCAAGGTTTTCTTGCTTGAATACACTGCTGCAATACATTCCCTAACCCCAACCCTAACCCTAATCTTAACTGCAACCAGTAAAATGAACATTTGCTAGAATGTGGACACCTTAAAAATACAACTTTATTTTATACAGAGTACATTTTACATGTAAGACAGGAAATAAATAAGAATGAACTGTGCGCTTAAAAATTTTAAACCTGTTTAAAAAAAATTAAACCAAAGATAAAATTGAACTACAACATATACACTGTATCGCTGGTTTCACTGTTAGACCATCATCAAAACCATTCAACAAATAAAGTCAAGAATCAAAGAGATAAAAGAAGATGACCATTCAAACACTTTTGCAAAGATAGGGAGATGCTAGAAAAAATGTTTTACTCAAATTTAGAAGGCTTCACTCACATTGCTTCGTCTTCTCGGATAAGACGTGAAGCCGTAGGTCCCGTCTCCCACAGGGTTAGGGGTAGGAGACATAAATTTCCCATGCACAAGATTACTGTGTAGTGGATGTCCTCCCTGGAGTGGGATGGGTGGGAAGGTGAGATCGCTACATGGACTGAAGCGGCTACCAGAGGCACCTGATAAAAATGCTGACGTCCGATCTCAACCTTACAATACTGTTAAGCGCGACTGAACATATCCACATAGAAGTCTGCACTATATAAATGTAAATGTAAATGCATCATAGGGAGCTGCATTTTTGTGTCCCTCTGAGGGGCACAAATATGGCGGCCAGAAGCTAACAAAAGCATATACCATTGAGTTTTGTAATAAAAAGTCTGTAGTCATCTTCTGAGGGGCCATGAACATTTATACTTAGTCTTGTACTTATTCTCATACAAGGACTGTTCAGATTGTGAAATCTCAGCGCCTAAGTCACTTTTTCAATCTACGTGACCGCATTCTCAGCTGCAATTTTAATATTGTGTCACATAAAAGCTTATAAATTCAACCTTGCTTTATCAAAAGGGAGCACGAATGGCACAGTGGTGAGAGCACTCAGCTCCCTCTACTGTGGGCTGGGTTCGATTCTGTTAAACTGAAAATTTATAAAAAGATAAGTCTTCAATGGTTCTAACAACTAACAAAAAGAAAATCTCAAAAGAATTGATAATTCCTTATTTTTTAATGTTGATGATGTCACATAAAACCATGACATAATCAAAATTCAAGAATTCAAGAATGGTTTAGCATACAACAAGTGCAGCTATTTTTCCTGGATTGTACTTGAATCAGGGCTGTGGTCTAGCAGTGCCGGATGGCCCCTGGCGCATTACTTTAATCGCTCTTGGGTGACTCAGGAATCTTAGTTTTTTCATAAAAAGCATATGCTGGGCACCCTGGATTTCACAGTTTCAGAGGACTGGGCTCCCTTAAATTTTGCTTAAAGCACAGCTTTGTGAATATTGCATGATCATTAGTTTTTACCTGTACGTACATGATATGATTATTTGGACTTGGACCACTTTTAGGGAGAGGTTGAGGAACAAAGGCAGGATGAAATCCTGGCCTTCTATGGTGAGGAAGAAACACGTAATTACGACAGCCCAGAAGCAGGCCCTGCAGTGGAAAAAGGTGATGGGTCTAACAAAGGAAAACCAACAACTGAGCAGGTTGGCCAAATGATTGTACTAACACTAGTATGCAGTACAAGTCAGTTATTTAAACAATAGACCCCACTTTCTATCACTTTACACATGATGTTGGGAAAAACATGAGAAAAGTTTGTAAATCACAAGCCTCTGACTCTGATAATGGTAGCACTGGTAACTGGTGAATTCCAGTGGTTACTCTCCTCCATGGAGCTGGCTGCTAATTGGCCATTCCACCTCCCGGATTGTGCGTTTTTTTTTTTTTTGGAAAACATTCAATATGTTCCAAAGGCAGTCATCATTAAAGGTGTTATTTTTCGATAATTTTTCCCCTTTTTGGTTGTTGGGTGATTTTTGTAACAAGTTCTAACAGTTCAATCAACAACACGATCAGTTTGCTTGGCATCATGTTTAATGAACAGAAGAGAAAGACTGGTGACAAATCTGCATTGATATCCACTGAACTGTCTTTCACCTGCTTATGTCCTAATATATGCTTACTCCTGAAATTAATGAAATCCTTGCTAACAAAAGTAATCATGCAAAACATCAATTTGTTCTCCATCCAAGAGTTTCAAAACTTGACACTTAAACCTTTATGCCCTACCATCAGCGTCTATATTCTCCATACCTTTCTGTAAACATTCCCTTTGGTACTGACAAGGGGAAGATGGTTCTCATCCAAGTGTCCTAGATTGGCCATCGTTTCCTTTATTCTCGTGACTGTAATAAAAGACTCAGCTGTGTAACTGATAGGAGAAATTCAATGCTAGTCACTCTTTAGTCTTAGGGTTTTTGGGGTTGATAAAAGTGCTTTAGAATGAAGTTTGGAATTGAGTGTTGATGCACTGTCATTTTACTTGCTACTTAAAATTTACCCTGGTTTTTTTGGTTTGCTGGCATGGTTTCTCTGTTTTTTATTTGGCTTTTTTCTCTTTCTGGACATGACTTGAGGGTCTGGGTGGTCCAGACAGCAATGTCATCTGTTTTTTGCATGCTTGAAAATCCCCCAAATTCCAGCCAGAACTGATTAGAAAATGTTTCCTGGTTTACAGGTTAAGGAAGAGAAACCCAAAGAGGAGGTTCCAGAGGAGGAGCCACTCCCTGAAAACATGGGTAAAGTCAGCTTTTGTGATATAAATCACTCATTGTAGTTGATTATCAACTTGAAGGTCACAAGGGTCAAGTGTTTGCCTGCTTGGGATAAGATAAGCTGCATTGCTTAGCAATGGGCATTTATCCAGAGTGAAATCTGTGTATCGTTCCAGCTTGCTAAATGGCCAAAGGGCCAATCTTAAATGTGAAAATATCATTTCACTCTGGCGATGTCGTATTCTGATAAAATTCAAGTTGATAACCAATTACAGTCAAGTCTCTGTTAATTAACTGACACCTCGTAAGTGGACAGCTCTACTTATGGACACTTTTTTCAATTCCCCTTTTGCCTCCCTTCCAAAATCTCTTGTAAGAAGACACTCTTATATAAGCAAATGCAGACCCTTTTGAAAGAAAAAATTGGATTTTAATTTTGTTTATGCTCTCTTGTAAGTGGACACCCCACGGATAATAATTTACATTAGTCTTGAATTTGCAAATCAATAAAAATATAACTATTTGACAGAGCAACAGAACAGTGGGGTTGGTTTCATCAAATCTCCATTTGTCCACCGGAAAGCAGGCTGTCCATTGATTTGATGAGTCTGCTATAATACTCTCCCATAAGCGGACATCCACCCTATTGTTCATTGGTCTCTGCTTGCAGGAGTAATTCTTTTTCCAATTCCAAAGGGTGTCCACTTAGGAGAAAGTTGACTGTATTTATTTGGTATTTCACTGTCTTGCCAATTTAGTATTTATTTGATAGCTGAACTTCAGTACTGATTCACATTTGTTCTGTATTGTTAGTCAAGAATCATTAATCTCTAAGCTCAGTCATACCTAAACAATATTGAATGGTTGAAAGTTAATGAAGTCTTAATAATGATATTAATAGCTTTGAAAATACTCATTAAAAGTCATGGCATAGCTATTAATACATGTATGACATAATCTCTTTTATTAAATTACTGAGATACTGTTTGGTCCCTGATTGGCTAGGAACCTATCCTTTATTGCAAGGGTAAACCCATAGAAAATTGAATCTTATTTTATAAAAAAAAAAAAAGAATAGACCACACTTTCTGTTGGTTTAGCAGCATGATAACCAAAGCAGGATTTTGGGATTTACATACTTTTCTTGTATTTGCCCAACATCCCACTTGGGGTATCGTGCTGGTAAACAAGTAAAACGTGAGGCCTATTGTATAATTGAGTTGCAAAATCCTTGGCTGTTTATTTTTTAGGTAAATGAGCAACAAAAAAAATTGACATCTGATACTCTTACAGTGAAGATGTTAGTCTCATTTTTACTTTTGAATTGAATTTAAACTAGTTCTGACAGTTGTGTATTGGTGATTAATATTAAATGATGAACCTCTAAATGAACAAAGTTACTTTCCATTAGTGAAAATGAAAGGGTGTCAGTAGACCTATCCAAAGTGGCTTGTGGACAATAGTTTTGTGATTTGCTATACTGTATTATCATACAGATTACGCAAAGGTGCCTGCTTCTATTTTTGGAGTACACTTGACTGTGATTGACATAGCCATGGCAGTTGGCCAAAAGCCATGTGATTGACACACCATGGCAGTTATCCCTGTACGGTTGACACCATGGTCGACCATACAGTTGATCATGGTTGACACTATGGTCGACCATACAGTTGATCATGGTTGACACCATGGTCAACCATACAGTTGATCATGGTTGACACCATGGTCAACCATACAGTTGATCATGGTTGACACTATGGTCGACCATACAGTTGATCATGGTTGACACCATGGTCAACCATATAGTTGATTATGGTTGACACCATGGTCAACCATACGGTTGATTATGGTTGACACCATGGTCAACCTGAATTAATCAACAAAAATCAGAGACATCTTGCAACATCTTAATTTTATTTTGGACCATATTTTACTTGAAAGTAAAGAGGAGATGTAATGGTCATAATTATGCAAAAATTGTTGAATCATTCCACAAGCACCTTGAATACAACACTGTCACCTAAACTATTAGATGTTTATACCACGTGGCTATGTTCTCTAAAGTTTTGTCAACCATCTGTGGGCTGTTTTAAATGTTTCTTACAAATTATCTAATTAGTTATAGGTTAAACACACGCCATGATCAACCCTTATTAATATGTTCCAGAGTTTCTATTAAAATTGAGATTAAATGCTTAATATGCCTTTAAAAATGTTCCTTTAAATTTAACCTTTTCTAATGTCTAACACAGTAACTGTTTTGTTCGATACAGCCAAGTGTGAATTCTGCCACTACATTGGAATAAGGGAATCCTTTTTCTCAAAGTCCAAACGCTTTTGTAAAATGGAATGTGCGAAAAGATACTCATCTGCGTCCAATATTAAACAGAAGTCGAAGGGAGACAAGATTGGGACTCCAAAAAAGAAACACAGAACTTCAGACAGACACAAAGTTTCTTTAAAACTCGACCTTCTTTCTAACCTAGTGACTGTTTTGTCCGATACAGCAAAGTGTGAATTCTGCTGCTACATTGGAGTAAGGGAACACTTTTTCTCAAAGTCCAAACGATTCTGTAAAATGGAATGTGCAAAAAGATACTCTGCATCAAATATTAAAAAGAAGTCAAAGGGGGAAAAGATTGGAACTCCGAAAAAGAAACACAGAACTTCAGAAAGGCACGCACATAATACAAATGCAGCAGCTGCTGCTGCTTCAGCAACATCTTCCGCTACTTCTGCGGCAACAGCTTCTGGTGTTCAAGAAATGAGTCAAGATGGGCAACAGGTAAGACGAGACATCCACATGCCCCAATGAACCCTTGTAGCTCCCATGAATCCTTGTAACTTCCGAGAGCCCTTGTAACTCCCATGAAACATTGTAACTCTCGTGGGCGCTTTTGGCTTCCGTGGGCCCTTGTTACTTCCACGAACCCTTGTTACTCCCACAAGCGACCAAAATGTAACTTCTCCTTACAATATCAATACGTTATTAAGCAATCAGGCAACGAGGAGAGTTGAACTTATCACTTGAAGAGTGTTATCGTGATTTTAAGCCAAATTCTCTGAACTAATATTGAAGAAAAATTGTAGCAACTAGAGGGGAGAATTGCTAATCATGCACATCTTAGAGTTGGAGGGCTGATGAATTTATCACCACTTGTTTTAACTCACTTTCTACTTTATAATTAATCTACTCTCTTTTGTGCCCTGTATTACTAGTATTTACACTGATCGTGCTTGAAAACTCAACGCTAGAGCTCTAAGGGGTACAGACATACGTAGCATGTTGTAACGGAAGTTCTGTAACTCACTGGGAAACGTTGCAATGTCTTGCGTATTTGAGTAGAAATTTTTACAGCTAATTTTTGGGCATTCTGCACACATTTTAGGAGGAAGCTGAAGGCTCTGGGGCAAGTGCAACCCCTCTGTCTAGAGAAGGTAAATTACGTCTATTCAATTCATCGCTTATGGAAAAATGACGTTTATTGTCATTGCATCAGGGTTTTTATTAAAGACCAGGCACTGGGCAAATTGACCTGCTTTGAGGAAAGTTTCACCCACCTGGTTTGACCATTTAAAGGAAAGTTGATCGTATAAAGAAGTTCAGTTCAAAAAGTTTGGCCCATCTGTGAAACCAGTCGCCTTCCTGCCCAAAAACATTCATGAAACCCCTGTAGCTTATACATGCTCTGTATTTATTTTGATTTCTCCTTAAATAAAGATGTTGGTGAAAATTGGCAGAATCGTAGCTTTGACTGGACAGAATACCTCAAGAAAACAGGAGCTAAAGCTGCTGCTACTCATCTGTTTGAACATGTAAGTTTGAGTTGATATTCTTTGTGAAGGTGTCTTAGCCATACGTGAGAGTTAAAACTCTAGTTTGGGACAACCAACACATAAGTTGCACATTTAAAGGGCTATGATACAATATGATAAAGTGGCGGTTTTTTAGGACCACGAGAAGGATGTTCATTTTTCTTGTGATCAAAATACTTCCACCACTGATAAAAAATCCTATGTCGTAGCCAAAGCGGGGCTGGCAGCATTGCGTTGTTGACTGGGCTCAAAGCTGTACTTTTTCAAAGTCGTTATTTCATAATCTAGAATCATAAAATGATCGCCAGAAAAAAAGAGAAATTTTGTGCGTTTGCTTAATCTCCCATGCAAACGTATGAATTATTTATGAATTACGTTTATAGGTCAGTCTGAGCCCGTGTTTGAAAGGCGTACATGTTGGCATGAAGGTGGAAGTCGTAAACTGCAGTGTGGACGTCGTAGATGACACAGATGTGGCTTTTTGGGTAGCGACAGTGATAGAAATCAGGCACTACAGAGTCAAATTACGATATGAAGGGTACGAGGTAAACCCTGCTGGCGACTTTTGGTTTGATCTAAGGTCAAAGAACATCCATCCAGTCGGTTGGTGCGCGAAGAGAAACAAACTGCTCATACCGCCCCCAGGTATGGTAAACTAACATCAGTATGCGTATTCTCCATACTTTTCTCTATACATTTCCCTAAGGTTCTGAAAAGAAAAGGGTGATTTTTATGTACGCATGTGGGTTACGTCCAGAAAACGAAATACAAACCAGCGGGGAAAGGTTTGAGACCATGGTTTGTTACCAAAGAAAAAGTCACAAGCAAAACTTCGATAAACGTAAAGAACTTTCTAATAGTTTTTCACTCCGGCTTGGGCATAATTCTCTGTTTACACAGAATATCCCCTCTAAACTCTAATAGACGTCTTTAGCTTGAATGTTTTGTTGATTTTTGTTTGTTCATTTCAGGTCATGTGATAACTTGAGACCTGAAATGGGTAAACAAAACATAATAATAATAATAATAATAATAATGATAATATTAATAATAATAATATTAATAATGCAAGTGGTGTGGACGTGTTTTAGAGTGTTCTCATAAAAATCCGTTCCCATCGAAAGCAGGCCGAGTTTAGAGCGCCAGAGCATCCTTAAAGAAGTATCTAGTATACTTCGCAGATTGCTAAGCAGTTTTGCGAGACTATTTGGCGTCTCCGAGCGGGAGTTTTAGCTGAGTTGATTTTGATTTTGTATGGATGTGCGAGCGATTTGTGTCATGGCGGATGGACGACGACAACAGGCGAACGGAAGGATACGATGGAATGTTAGGATGAACAATGACTTGTTGGAGTGCAAGAAGAGAGCTTTGGAAAGGGTGAAATCAGATAATGCCCCGCGGTTGAATAATGGACGAAAGATGGGTTATATGCAGATGATGAAAGAATTGTGGGAAGAGAAAGGATATGGTGACTTCGCACTGACGAGTCAAAACCAGCGGGATCAAGCCGCCAGACTAGAGAAGACTTTCGGTAGTGTTGCAGAGAGTTTAAGTGCAGGGATTGGGGGGAGTGAAAGAAGGAAGGAGGGAGAGAGTGTTTGCGAAGAATTGGGTGAAGATATTAACGGTTGCAAAATGCTAATTCGTGCGCTGTGCAGGAAGATTTGGATTTGCATATGAGAGAACGATTTAGTCCCGAGGGAGTGCAAGTACCATCAGTGAAGAGGCACGCACTTTGCTTGAATCATCAATTACCATCTTACGCCAAATTAACACCTCCCAAGGTCAGTACAAAGCTCGCGAGTTTGACACCCGTATTAAGGAGAAGCCAACAAAGCGCGACCTCGACAACATCAATCAAGCCTTACCAGAGCTGATGAGACAACAGAAAGTACTCCCTACGGACAACCCGTTCACGTATCTTTGGATCGCAAGCTGCGTGCTGTACTCTGTTGTTATTGCATTTTTGTTGTACAAAGGTTGGAAAAAGAAAGGCCCGAAAAGACCATCAGCTGGAGAGAGTAAGCAACAGAAACGGCGCCGTTTGTACGTAGAAAAAGTATGTGAAATAAGGAAACAGATTTCAATTGCCAAAGCGGAAGTGGATCGCTTGAAAGAAAACCGAAAGCTCACCAAGAGAGGGAGAAGGAACCGGGAGATTTTGCACAAGGAATGCCGCACGTTATCGATAGCATCACTTGTCGGGTATATTGAGAAGAAGAAATCCTCTTTACGAAAACTGAAGAAAGGCTTTGTGCGAGGCAACAAGCTAGAGGAAGCAAGGTTGATTAATCAACAATTTAAAGATGATACTAGCCGGGTATATGCGGGCATGAGAAGAGTGTTGGCTAACGACCAAGAGAGTGAGCGTCCAAAATATGTAGACCCTGGGAAACGGGATGAGCAAATAGAGGAGAAGGTGTTTGTTAATATCGAAGAAGCAAGTAGCTTTTGGAAGGAATTATGGGAAGGGAGCGGAACGGGAAACGGAAGCGCGGAATGGCTGCATGATTTGCGAGCTATTATTCACGATCGTGTCCCTCCTTCAGTGGAGGAGGCCTGGGACATAGTTACAAGTGAGGCTGTAAACGTTTTAGCGCGGAAGAAGAATTGGAGCGCACCTGGACCGGATCGTATCGCCAATTTTTGGTGGAAACGTGCCCAAGCGCTGCAT